AAAAAAAAAAAAAAAAAAAGAAAAAAACACACACATTGGTGTCGGACATGTTGGGAGTGGAAACCAGTTCCTAATCTTTATCCCAAGTGAACTCTTCCCCCAAAACCTCTAGTACAGAGAATGCTCTGATGCCATGTGGGAGGTCAGATGAGCATTCTGTGGCTCTGCTCAGCCTCTCTCCCTGGCATCCTCAGGGCTTGCTCCATGGGCTTAGGAGCAAAGTGGCCGGAGGTGGGCTACACCAGCTACGTCACTGATGAATGCCCACCTAGCTGGCAGTAGCAACTGCCGAGCCCCCAGTGTACCGTTTCCTCGGAAGACCAAAAAGCTAAATACCTGGGCCCATGAGGATTACACTGGAGCCTTTTCATCACAGACTGGGCAATGAGTTTTTCCTCCCTAGAATAAACAATTCTGGGTTTGTTATTTGCTTTTCTTGCCCTTTGCACTTCTGCCAACAGCAGCATCTGTGTATGCACTGAATGGCCCTATTCACCCTCGTGTTGTCCCACACAGTATTGCTTCTGCTCAAGGAGCTCCATTTATTAGGAGGAAGCCAGTGGGGAGCAGTCCATATACCCCATTACCCCAAAGCAGCCAGCCTCATGGAACAGAGGCACGACCTGATTGAGACTGGGTTACACTGCCAGTTTGGAGTCATCATCTTTGGGGTTGGGGTGCTGTTTTACAGGATGGGTAACCCTCTGAACCAGGGGTACATCCCAGAGGATCCCAGTTTACAAAGACCTGGGAACTCAAGAGTGCTATTTCTTTCTCTTTTTTTGAGATGGAGTTTCACTCCTGTTGCCCAGGCTGGAGTGCAAAGGCATGATCTCAGCTCACTGCAACCTCCGCCTCCCGGATTCAAGCGATTCTCCTGTCTCAGCTTCTGAGTAGCTGGGATTACAGGCACACACCACCACGCCTGGCTAATTATTGTGGTTTTAGTAGAGACAGGGTTTCGCCATGTTGGGCAGGCTGGTCGGGAACTCCTGACCTCAGGTGATCCTCCCGCCTTGGCCTCCCAAAGTACTGGGATTATAGGCATGAGCCACCGTGCCCAGCAAGAGTGCCATTCCTTGCGACCACACCCAGTGACACACTTCAAATTTTTGTTTTGTTTTTTTTATTTTTTTACAAAGACGGGGTTTCACCATGTTGGTTAAGCTGGTCTTGAACTCCCAACCTCAGGTGATTCGCCCACCTTGGCCTCCAAAGTGCTTGGATTACAGGCGTGAGTCACCACACCCGGACTGTTTTGTTGTTTTTTGTTTTGAGATAGAGTCTTGCTCTGTCGCCTAGGCTGGAGTGCCATTGCCATCTCGGCTCCCTGCAACCTCTGCTTCCCAGGTTCAAGTGATTCTCCTGTCTCAGCCTCTTGAGTAGCTGGGATTACAGGCGACACCCCCAGGCCCGACTAATTTTTTTGTATTTTTAGTAGAGGAGGGGGTTTCACCATGTTGGCCTGGCTGGTCTCGAACTCCTGACCTCAGGTGATCTGCCTGCCTCAGCCTCCCAAAGTGCTGGAATTACAGAGGTGAGCCACTGCGTCCCGCCTTCACTCTTCAGATGTTTGCTTCCTCTTCCTGCTACCCTGAATTCTGCTGTTGAGGGGTTCTAGCGTCTACAGGGGAACCGCTGCCACCACAAGGAAAAACACAGTAAGTTTTGTAAGTGGAGACCACCCCTGGGCTGTTTTGGGTACCTCGAGTGTGTCACTATGGGGTCAGGCGGAGTGACTGATTTAGGGGAAAGTTTTGCTGCTACACTTGGGGCCAAGGAGACCTATGACTAGAACCCAGGGGCGGCGCAGGGGAGTCTCCAACTAACACCACGTCCCCACTCCCTATCTGTCCACAGCCCTCCCTCCTTAGACAGGGCCTGACCTGGGCGAATTGGGGCCTCCTCCCCTATGCAGGGCACAGAGTAACAAAGAGGGTCTGTGCCCCCTTTCCTTTGCAGAAACACAAAAAGTGTGCACACAGGTTCTACCTTCCTCCACCTAGCCCCCGCCCCCACTCCTGCAGACCTCCCCCTTCCTGCAGGTCCCCCTCCGGCCCCTCCCCGCTCCGTAGCGCACGCAGACGCGGATCCCCAGCGCCCGGACCCCATCCGACCGCTCCCTTAGCCACTTGCGCGGCTTCCACCCCTGGGCTCGGCCTCAAAGCCTTCTCAGTTGGCGGCCTGGAAGGTGCCCAGCGGCGGCAGCGCCAGACGCGCCCCGTTAGCTCAGCGTCGCTGAGCATCCGCAGCCGCCACCAGGCCCCGCCCAGCGGCTGCCGCCAGCCAGGCCGCGCCCGGGACGACTGCAGAGCTTGGTGAGTGAGCGCGGCCAGAGGGAGGGACTCAGGCGCCCCGGGTCCCCGCCCTGCACCTCCCCGGGGGCCTGACATCCCGACCTTCAGCTCCCTCTTTTTCTTTTGGCTCTGGCAGTCCGTTTCAGGGACGCAGAGCCGCCTTTAAAAGACGCTCCCGGCAGCCCTGCCCTGGCCTGGGGCTCCGGGCCCACCGGCCCCTTGGATCCCTTCCCCTCTTGCAGGATCTGGGAATCCAGAGCCCCTAGCCCCAGCTCCAGCCCCATCCTCATTAAAATTCTGAGTCCCTCCCTCCATCCAGAAGTCAGGAATGTAGGCCAAAAATATCTGCCTTCCAGACCCAGGCGGTTCAGCTTGCAACTTCTGCTCTGAAAACCGAAGGGCCTGAGCTTTGATGGTTCTATTATTATTTTTTTTATTTTTAATAGGGCAGGGCCTACTTGTGTTGCCCAGGCTGGTCTTGAACTTCTGGGCTCAAGGGATCCTCCCTCCTCAGCCTCCCAAAGTGCTGGGATTTCAGGCGTGAGCCACCGCGCCGCGGCCTGATTGTTCTTTTGAGCCAAGATTCGGGGCCTCAGCCTGGGAGTCCTGTGCAGCCCCGGAGTCCGAGCCCTCAACTCCTATCGCGCTAGCCCCCAGGAATTTTGCCCCCAAAACACCCCACCCCTATTCACTGTGATATCTGAAACCTTCGTCCAGCCCGAATCCCTTACCCCGGGGAGCCCGGTGCCAGTGGGGACTAGGGGAGCATTTTGCTGCCCTTTCAAGATCCTTAAATACAGGAATCTAGCCTCTGTTTCTTGGGGGGACCCAGCAAGCAGGCATCGTAGCCCAGACCACCTAAAGCCCAGGAATACTGCTCTCAATTCTCAGGGCTCCAGGAGACAGAGATCCTAGCCCACAAACCCCCTTAAACTGAGGAGCCTGTTCCCCCAATCCGCTGAGACCAGGTGTCCAAGGTTTCATCCAGCAAGGCAGGGGTGGAGGCGGAACACACCAGGAAGGAGGGGGCAGGAAGCGAGCGGGAGAATTGAGTGAGACGGGGGTGGGGACCTGAGCTGGGGGGCTCCGTTCTAAACAAATCCTAAACATGCGGGTTCCTATGGTAACCGTCCTTCCTTGCCTACCCTGGAGACTCCTCCAGGGCAGTGTCGAGGAGGGCAGCCCCCAGGAGTCCCCACGCCGCCAGCTGTTGTGTCTTCCTGTTTTGTCACCAAGGCAACGGTGACCTCAGCCCTCCAGTCGGCTCTCTGGGGTGGGGCGGGAGCTCCGCGTTACAGCTTTCCCCGCGAGGGGCGTGGCTTTCTCTTGACCCCGCCTCGGGGCGGGGCTGGGATAGCCCAGGCTCGGGGAAGTCCCCTGTCCACCGCCCTAGCCTGGAGCCGCGCCCTGCCCCGGCCCCACCCTCGGCCCGCCCGCGCTCGCTCCCTTGGCCGCCAACCCCACCCAGAGCACAGACCCTGCCAGCTGCAGCTGTCGTCTTTGCTTCAGCCGCAGTCGCCCCTGGCTGCCTGAGGTGAGGTTGTGGGGACCCCAGAGGGCGGACGCAACAGTCTAGGTTTTTATGGCCAGAGGGAGGAATGGGCTGGGTCCCAGAATGTCTGGGTTCCTAGAGAGACGGGCTGGGTTAGGATTCCTGGGGTTCTGCAGACGAGAGGGCTTGAGGACCTGGACTCTGCAGGTCAGACGTCTGGAAGAAGGAGGAACGGGACCTAGACTCCTGGGTCCGAGGGAGGAGGGTCTGGGGGCCTGGGCTCCTGGGTCCGAGGGAGGAGGGGCTGGGGGCCTGGGGGCCTGG